ATCAATTTTGTTTAAACTGAGGTGTGTGGATTCCCCTTCTTTGGGGCAGATTAGTGGGGCCCATTAGGGGAAATAGAGGAAAACATTAAAGATCCTTCTCCTTCTGTACCATTGAAGGGATTTTAACCTAACCAAACTTGTTTTAGAGAATCTTTGGGCAAAGGGAATTGAATATTTATAAATGGAAGATGCAACTTTGTTACTTGTACTCCTTTGATAAACCTGAATGGTACTTAGCAGGTTTTAAATTGAAAAATAAAATACCAGGTCAGCTATTAAGGCCCCTGGGCCTCTTGTTATGTTTACTGAAATTTGAATATGGTTGCAATGTGGGTTAAGTATTATATTGAGCAGCAGGGCTTAGTCCCACCACATGGTGGGGTCTGTTAGGGCAAATTGAAGAGAGAGAAGAAGAAAACAAATAAATAATGTGAAGTTCAAGTTATTAAACATGTTTACCTTAAGTATTAATTCATTTTCAGCTCATTTCTGACATGACCTCCAGTCAGATTGTCAATCGGTCGAGAAGGAACACAATTACCATTGGAGACGACTGTAGCTTTGTGTCAGGTTAGTGGAGGGCCAATGCAACAGGGCCTTATATTAAGTAGCTAATTCAATATACCTAAGCAACTCTTACTCAAATGTTTCCTTGGCAGTTTTATCACAAACCTGCAATAAAAGAAATCCTTGTAACTGTTATAATAATGACACAGGGATATGTTCCCAGGACTCGCCCTAAGGTCCTTGGAGCCACACCCAAGGATAAAACCCTCAGGTCCTTAGACCCACACCCAGGTATCAAACCCTAAGGTCCTTAGAGCCACACCCAGGTATCAAACCCTAAGATCCTTAGAGCCACACCAATGTATCAAACCCTAAGGTCCTTAGAGCCACACCCAGGTATCAAACCCTAAGGTCCTTTGAGCCACACACAAGGATAAAACCCTAAGGTCCTTAGAGCCACACCAAGGTATCAAACCCTAAGGTCCTTAGAGCCACTCCCAGGTATCAAGCCCTAAGGTTCTTAGAGCCACACCCAGGCATCAACCCCTAAGGTCCTTAGAGCCACACCCAGGAATCAAACCCTAAGGTCCTTAGAGCCACTCCCAGGTATCAAGCCCTAAGGTTCTTAGAGCCACACCCAGGCATCAAACCCTAAGGACCTCAGAGCCACACCCAGGTATCAAACCCTAAGGTCCCTAGAGCTACACCCAGGTATCAAACCCTAAGGTCCCTAGAGCTACACCCAGGTATCAAACCCTAAGGTCCTAAGAGCCACACCCAGGGATCAAACCCTAAGGTTCTTAGAGCTACACCCAGGGATCAAACCCTAAGGTCCTTAAAACCTCACCCAGGTATCAAACCCTAAGGTCCTAAGAGCCACACCCAGGGATCAAACCCTAAGGTTCTTAGAGCTACACCCAGGGATCAAACCCTAAGGTCCTAAGAGCCACACCCAGGTATCAAACCCTAAGTATCAAACCCTAAGGTTCTTAGAGCCACACCCAGGTATTAAACCCTAAGGTTCTTAGAGCCACACCCAGGGATCAAAACCTAAGGTCCTTAGAGCCTCACCCAGGTATCAAACCCTAAGATCCTTAGATCCACACCCAGGTATCAAACCCTAAGGTACTTAGAGCCACATACAGCACCCAGGTATCAAACCCTAAGGTCCTTTTAGCCACACCCAAGGATAAAACCCTCAGGTCCTTAGACCCACACCCAGGTATCAACCCCTAAGGTCCTTAGAGCCACACCCAGAAACCCCAAGGTCCTTAGAGCCACACCCAGGTATTAAACCCTAAGGTTCTTAGAGCCACACCCAGGGATCAAACCCTAAGGTCCTAAGAGCCACACCCAGGGATCAAACCCTAAGGTTCTTAGAGCCACCCCCAGGCATCAAACCCTAAGGTCCTTAGAGCCACTCCCAGGTATCAAACCCTAAGGTCCTAAGAGCCACACCCAGGTATTTACCCCTAAGGTCATTAGATCCACACCCAGGTATCAAACCCTAAGGTCCCTAGAGCTACACCCAGGTATCAAACCCTAAGGTCCCTAGAGCTACACCCAGGTATCAAACCCTAAGGTCCCTAGAGCTACACCCAGGTATCAAACCCTAAGGTCCCTAGAGGGATCAACCCCTAAGGTCCTTAGAGCCTCACCCAGGTATCAACCCCTAAGGTCCTTAGAGCCACACCCAGTTATTAATCCCTAAGGTCCTTAGAGCCACACCCAGGCATCAAACCCTAAGGACCTTAGAGCCACTCCCAGGTATCAAACCCTAAGGTCCTAAGAGCCACACCCAGGGATCAAACCCTAAGGTTCTTAGAGCCACCCCCAGGCATCAAACCCTAAGGTCCTTAGAGCCACTCCCAGGTATCAAGCCCTAAGGTTCTTAGAGCCACACCCAGGTAACAAACTCTAAGGTCCTTAGAGCCACACCCAGGTTTCAAACCCTAAGGTCCTTAGAGCCACACTCAGGTATCAAACCCTAAGGTCCTTAGAACCACCTCCAGGTATCAAACCCTAAGGTTCTTAGAGCCACACCCAGGAATCAAACCCTAAGGTCCTTAGAGCCACTCCCAGGTATCAAGCCCTAAGGTTCTTAGAGCCACACCCAGGTATTAAACCCTAAGGTCCTTAGAGCCACACCAAGGTATCAAACCCTAAGGTCCTTAGAGCCACTCCCAGGTATCAAGCCCTAAGGTTCTTAGAGCCACACCCAGGCATCAACCCCTAAGGTCCTTAGAGCCACACCCAGAAACCCCAAGGTCCTTAGAGCCACACCCAGGTATTAAACCCTAAGGTTCTTAGAGCCACACCCAGGTAACAAACTCTAAGGTCCTTAGAGCCACACCCAGGTTTCAAACCCTAAGGTCCTTAGAGCCACACTCAGGTATCACACCCTAAGGTCCTTAGAGCCCCACCCAGGTATCAAACCCTAAGGTCCTGAGAGCCACACCCAGGGATCGATCCACTCCCAGGTATCAAACCCTAAGGTCCTAAGAGCCACACCCAGGGATCAAACCCTAAGGTTCTTAGAGCTACACCCAGGGATCAAACCCTAAGGTCCTTAGAGCCTCACCAAGGTATCAAACCCTAAAGTCCTTAGAACCACACCCAGGTATCAAACCCTAAGGTCCCTAGAGCTACACCCAGGTATCAAACCCTAAGGTCCTCAGAGCCACACCCAGGTTTCAAACCCTAAGGTCCTTAGAGCCACACCCAGGTATTAAACCCTAAGGTTCTTAGAGCCACACCCAGGGATCAAAACCTAAGGTCCTTAGAGCCTCACCCAGGTATCAAACCCTAAGGTCCTGAGAGCCACACCCAGGGATCGATCCACACCCAGGTATCAAACCCTAAGGTCCCTAGAGCTACACCCAGGTATCAAACCCTAAGGTCCGTAGAGCCACACCCAGGCATCAAACCCTAAGGACGTTAGAGCCACACCCAGGGATCAAACCCTAAGGTTCTTAGAGCCACCCCCAGGCATCAAACCCTAAGGACCTTAGAGCAACACCTAGGTATCAAACCCTAAGGTCCTCAGAGCCACACCCAGGTTTCAAACCCTAAGGTCCTTAGAGCCACACTCAGGTATCAAACCCTAAGGTCCTTAGAGTCACACCCAGGGATCAAACCCTAAGGTCCTTAAAACCTCACCCAGGTATCAAACCCTAAGGTCCTAAGAGCCACCCCCAGGTATCATCCCTAAGGTTCTTAGAGCCACACCCAGGTAGCAAACCCTAAGGTCCCTAGAGCAACACCCAGGTATCAAACCCTAAGGTTCTTAGAGCCACACCCAGGCATCAAACCCTAAGGACCTTAGAGCCACACCAAAGTATTAAACCCTAAGGTCCTTAGAGCCACACCCAGGTATCAAACCCTAAGGTCCTTAGAGCCACACCCAGGTATCAAACCCTAAGGTTATTAGAGCCACACCCAGGGATCAAACCCTAAGGTCCTTAGAACCACATCCTTGTATCAAACCCTAAGGTTCTTAGAGCCACACCCAGGCATCAAACCCTAAGGTCCTTAGAGCCACACCCAGGGATCAAACCCTAAGGTCCTTAGAACCACATCCTTGTATCAAACCCTAAGGTTCTTAGAGCCACACCCAGGGATCAAACCCTAAGGTTCTTAGAGCTACACCCAGGGATCAAACCCTAAGGTCCTTAGAGCCTTCCCCAGGTATCAAACCCTAAGGTCCTAAGAGCCACACCCAGGTATCAAACCCTTATGTTCTTAGAGCCACACCTNACCCTAAGGTACTTTGAGCCACATACAGGTATCAAACCCTAAGGTACTTAGAGCCACATACAGGTATCAAACCCTAAGGTCTGTAGAGCCACACCCAGGTATCAAACCCTAAGGTCCTTAGAGCCACACCCAGGTATCAAACCCTAAGGTCCTTAGATCCACACCCAGGTATCAAACCCTAAGGTCCTAAGAGCCACACCCAGGTATCAACCCCTAAGGTCCTTAGAGCCACACTCAGGTATCAAACCCTAAGATCCTTAGAGCCACACCAAAGTATTAGAGCCACACCCAGGTATCAGACCGTAAGGTCTGTAGAGCCACACCCAGGTATCAAACCCTAAGGTCCTAAGAGCCACACCCAGGTATTTAACCCTAAGGTCATTAGAGCCACACCAAAGTATTAAACCCTAAGGTCCTTAGAGCCACACCCAGGTATCAAACCCTAAGGTCCCTAGAGCAACACCCAGGTATCAAACCCTAAGGTTCTTAGAGCCACACCCAGGTATCAAACCCTAAGGTTCTTAGAGCCACACCCAGGTATCAAACCCTAAGGTCCTTAGAGCCACACCCAGGTATCAAACCCTAAGGTTCTTAGAGCCACACCCAGGTATCAAACCCTAAGGTCCTTAGAGCCACACCCAGGGATCAAACCCTACAGTCCTTAGAGCCACACCCAGGGATCAAACCCTAAGGTCCTTAGAGCTTCACCCAGGTATCAAACCCTAAGGTTCTTAGAGCCACACCCAGGTATCAAACCCTAAGGTCCTTAGAGCCACACCCAGGTATCAAACCCTAAGGTCCTTAGAGCCACACCCAGGTATCAAACCCTAAGGTCCTTAGAGCCACACCCAGGTATCAAACCCTAAGGTCCTTAGAGCCACACCCAGGTATCAAACCCTAAGGTCCTTAGAGCCACACCCAGGTATCAAACCCTAAGGTCCTTAGAGCCACACCCAGGTATCAAACCCTAAGGTCCTTAGAGCCACACCCAGGTATCAAACCCTAAGGTCCTTAGAGCCACACCCAGGTATCAAACCCTAAGGTCCTTAGAGCCACACCCAGGTATCAAACCCTAAGGTCCTTAGAGCCACACCCAGGTATCAAACCCTAAGGTCCTTAGAGCCACACCCAGGTATCAAACCCTAAGGTCCTTAGAGCCACACCCAGGTATCAAACCCTAAGGTCCTTAGAGCCACACCCAGGTATCAAACCCTAAGGTCCTTAGAGCCACACCCAGGTATCAAACCCTAAGGTCCTTAGAGCCACACCCAGGTATCAAACCCTAAGGTCCTTAGAGCCACACCCAGGTATCAAACCCTAAGGTCCTTAGAGCCACACCCAGGTATCAAACCCTAAGGTCCTTAGAGCCACACCCAGGTATCAAACCCTAAGGTCCTTAGAGCCACACCCAGGTATCAAACCCTAAGGTCCTTAGAGCCACACCCAGGTATCAAACCCTAAGGTCCTTAGAGCCACACCCAGGTATCAAACCCTAAGGTCCTTAGAGCCACACCCAGGTATCAAACCCTAAGGTCCTTAGAGCCACACCCAGGTATCAAACCCTAAGGTCCTTAGAGCCACACCCAGGTATCAAACCCTAAGGTTCTTAGAGCCACACCCAGGTATTAAAAACCCTAAGGTCCTTAGAGCCACACTCAGGTATCAAACCCTAAGGTTCTTAGAGCCACACCCAGGTATCAAGCCCTAAGGTCCTTAGAACCGCATCCAGGTATCAAACCCTAAGGTACTTAGAGCCACACCCAGGGATCAAACCCTAAGGTCCTTAGAGTCACACCCAGGTATCAAACCCTAAGGTTCTTAGAGCCACACCCAGGTATCAAACCCTAAGGTCCTGAGAGCCACACCCAGGGATCAAACCCTAAGGTCCTTAGAGCCAACTCCAGGTATCAAACCCTAAGGTCCTTAGAGCCACACCCAGGTATCAAACCCTAAGGTCCTTAGAGCCACATACAGGGATCAAACCCTAAGGTACTTAGAGCCACATACAGGTATCAAACCCTAAGGTACTTTGAGCCACATACAGGTATCAAACCCTAAGGTACTTAGAGCCACATACAGGTATCAAACCCTAAGGTCTGTAGAGCCACACCCAGGTATCAAACCCTAAGGTCTGTAGAGCCACACCAAGGTATCAAACCCTAAGGTCTGTAGAGCCACACCCAGGTATCAAACCCTAAGGTACTTAGAGCCACACCCAGGAATCATGTTTGTGCTCATGTGTTACATTTCATTCAAAACTTATCACTAAGGACCCAAATGAGGTTATACCTTTGTTATAAATGTTTGTATTTTGTTACACATGTTTATTGATTTAACAGCGGTTTGTGGTCTTGACTCCCAGGAATTAATTTTAGATTTAGATTTTAGACTCATGTTGTTACTGGTTTCCCTCTAGAGGGCAATTACATTTTGTGGGAAAGTACACTTTGTGGATAATCCTATTTTTGATCTTTTGTTGCTACAGGTGGATCCACGTCTTCAGGTTCAACCAATGATAAGTATGATGAATGGCCACAGTTCTCTCCCCTTGGTTCCATGGACAATCTGTATGAGCCAATTGTTCCCAAGGAGCCACCTCCTCCTCCACCCAATGGGAATGTGTATGACCCTGTGTCCTCCAAGGCTAGCCAACCTGCACTCAGCTTTGTGGCCAGTTGCCAGCTACCGACAGAGGGCTATCTGGAGCCGGTCAGATCATCAGATTTACAACGGGATGCGACTCTTCAACAGTCAAGGGACACAACTCTTGATTATCCGGATCATGTAGACATAAGTGAGGAGAGACGTATACTGTTAGCCTCGCAACCAATTTATGAGGAGATAAACGGTTATACTAAAGACTTTCCAGTGAAACAACCCCCTGTGTCAGATACAAAGTGTAAACTTACTGTCAATGTTAAGTCTTCATCATCGTTCAATGAAAAAGACGTTCAGGCAACACCTGTTTCACCGTCAGCCTCCCACAATGCATTTTCTTCAGAGTCAGAGTCGTCCTCTGCATCAAGTACTTTAAATCGACCCAAACCAATTCCCAGGAAACGCCCTGGGAGGAAGACCGAGAGTACTGGCTCAGAGCAACCCTATGTAGCCATGAATCGGCCAAGCATAGCTGTGGCCTTAAACGAGGTAGAGGTTCGCGACATGCTGAACCAACTCACGTCACAAATCTCACAGACATTAAGTGAAATTTATACGCAATATGAACGAGTGTTTACCAAAGAGACTGTGAATCTCAACATCACTGGAGCGGGGCCAATCAAATGGGTAGACTTTGATATCTACGGAAAGCCCATCCACACGTCGGAGAGGTGTGTTGTTTACAACGCTAAGCTGAAATTGACTTCCACAACCTGTCAGCTGATGGTAAGGATGCTTACATGTATATAATATAGGTATCTAACAAAACAATGAATAACATAACCCACGTTATACTCCCGACTAACTGAGGGGGGTATATATAGGTATCTAACAAAACAATGAATAACTGACCCATGTTATACTCCCGACTAACTGAGGGGGTATATATAGGTATCTAACAAAACAATGAATAACATAACCCATGTTATACTCCCGACTAATTGAGGGGGGGTATATATAGGTATCAAACAAAACAATGAATAACATAACCCATGTTATACTCCCGACTAACTGAGGGGGGTATATATAGGTATCTAATAAAACAATGAATAACATAACCCATGTTATACTCCCGACTAACTAAGGGGGTATATATGGGTGGCTTTGTCAGTGCTCCCGTTCATATGTGTGAGTCCAAGTGTAATCCCTATCTAGTTCATTTTACACCACAGTATGGTAATATTGAGTTCTACACTTGATTACATTTTGATTGTAATCGGTCCATGTTAAAGGGTCAAAGGTCATGCATGAAGATCACACAAACCCCAGAACACATTTGGTTTATATTTACACCAAAGTATGGCAATATCAAACTTTACACCAAAGTATGGCAATATCAAACTTTACACCAAAGTATGGCAATATCAAACTTTACACCTAACCAGATTTTGGTTGTTATTGGTTATAACTGATAACAGACTATTTCCTTATGGGTGTAAATCGAAGGGGTTAGAGGGAATTAAGAGGTGGAAGGTATGTCTCTGTGAGAACTCATTCAAACAAAATTTGTATGGGTTACCTATGGAATTCTTCAATTTGTAAATCAAGAGTGTAGTATCTGTGTATGGTATCTGTGGATTGATTAAAGGGACACATTCCCTGTAGTATACAAGTTGGATACAGATGTGGCATTAGTATAGGGATATGATATATAATACCTGTCGGAGAAGATTTATTTATCAAGTCATGTTCAATTTGCCATCAAAACAATGTCAAACAAAACTGCTGTAACTTTGTGAATTGAATACTGGGTTATGATGTCATAAACATAGCAACAAATAAATGCCGAAATATTGGGAACTCTTTTTCGATGCATTTGAACAATATTTTAAGAAGAGATGGCAATGAATTGTAAAAAGGGCATAGAAAATTCATTGAAACAGTTATGTAAGACGATAAAAATACCATGTCTAGAATTCTGCCTGATTTGATTTTGTTTTTGATTTTCCAGCTTCTGCATACAAAGCCTGACTTGACCAATGTCCAGCACTCAAGCCTGCTCAAACCGACGGTCATCTTCACCGACAATATTCCATTCTCATATCTAACTGAGGACTTCATCAAAACTAGCCAGCTCTTGCAAAACCTACAAAATCCTGTCAATCAATCAAACCATGCCAAGTGTTTCGTAGCCATTGGTCTTTTTGATGTCAACGGCGATCTGAATCACAAGCTTGCAGCCTTGAAGGATGGCTTCAGTGCTGACCCCGGTAACTGTTCTACTGAGCTGGAAACCCTTCTGTTTTATATGTTACAACTGCTTAGTGCTATCTCTCACTGCCTCGACCAAGGGTTCACGCTGGGCGAGGCGAACTTTAGAGACGTGTTCATCGTTACTAACAGCAACCATTGCCACGGTGATATCATTGCTTTTCTTCCTCATCAACGGTTGCACGATTCGTCAAATGTGGATTCTGTTTGTGAGCTCCTGGAGCGCTATTTCACCGACACTCTTGTCAATGTTAGCGACGAGGACTATGAGAAACATTTCTCCTGTATCGCCACCATTGAGCGCATGCTGCAGACACGGCGCTTGGACTCCTTAGCCCTCGTAAGAAGCTATGTAGAGTATCTACTTTGGGGCCCAAAGGGAGATAAATGGCAGAGCGGGGCGGAACGTCTGAGTAATCTCGAACCCCAGCTTTCCATGTGGCTGGAGCGCGAACGCGCAGCTCTCATTCACAAATTTGCAAGCATTCCTATCGGTTCAGTCCGAGACTGTTCAGTGCTAGATTTCTATCGCATGAAGTTTCTGCTTAAAGCAAGCGCTGTGGGCATGTCCGAGTGTATGAGACATCATGTGTCGTACTGACCACCGTGTGTTGTGTAGGTTGTAGAGATTACTGTCCAACAGTATATAGCCGTGTTTATAAACACATGTACAGATTGTGTTATAGATCAGTAGTAACTCCGTGGAAGCTATGTATATACCGGGTGTGTCTGCCTGAGTGTGATCAGATCTCTACCTATAAATGTATATACCTGGTGTGTCTGCCGGAGTGTGATCTCTACCTATAAATGCTATTTAATATGTATGTATCCTGGTGAACTTCAAATGGTTAAAAATAGTGTTATCGTTTGACTTTCATGTTTGAAATCTCAAGTGATTTAATTTTTATATATTGCTCATTTCTAAGACTTTTCTTTAATTTCAGATGAATAATATACCAAAACTTCTATGTTTGTTGAGAAAATAATTGACTTTTAATTGAATATCGAAATTAAAAATTCTACAAGTTTCTATACAGTTACGCATCTACTGGTGTTATTGTCAAAACCTGAGAGAGTTACTGCCCTTGTGGAGAAAATAATTATATCAGTGTTTTTCTATTGATCATGTTCAGATTTGAAATCCATTGTAAAGAGCCTTGTCTCTGTATTTCATTATTAATGTTTATATGTGAAATGTTATTTATGCTACAAATTTTATCCTGATTTCTTTTTATAAATATTTTACACATAACAATGCACTTTGTCTAAACCAAACTCCTGTCTAAACCAGACATCTATCTAAACCAGACTCCTGTCTAAACCAAACTCCTGTCTAAACCAGACTCCTGTCTAAACCAAACTCCTGTCTAAACCAGACATCTATCTAAACCAGACTCCTGTCCAGACTGTTATCTAATTGAAATGGCCAAATAATCTGGTCCAGACAAAGAATAAAAAGTAGAGGCTCTTAATCATTATGGAACTCGGCTAAATGATGTGGTTTGAGGGCTGGAACTCCAACCACCGAATGATGTGGTCTGAGGGCTGGAACTCCAACCACCAAATGATGTGGTCTGAGGGATGGAACTCCAACCACCAAATTATGTGGCCTGAGGGCTGGAACTCCAACCACCAAATTATGTGGCCTGAGGGCTGGAGTTCCAACCACCAAATGATGTGGTCTGAGGGCTGGAACTCCAACCACCAAATTATGTGGCCTGAGGGCTGGAGTTCCAACCCCCAAATGATGTGGTCTGAGGCCTGGACCTCCAACCACCGAATGATGAGGTCTGAGGGCTGGAACTCCAACCACCAAATGATGTGGTCTGAGGTCTGGAACTCCAACCACCAAATGATGTGGTCTGAGGGCTGTCTGGTTTAGACAGAATGCCCTGTATTGGAATGTTTTAATGTAAATGGACTTTTAATCAAATGGTGAGGTACATGTAAAATGACCATGGCTTCCTCCAGATTTTAGAGAAACATGTTTTAAAGACTGACTACAAAAGTTACACCTTGGATATGTGAGATGTATAAGTTCAGATGTAACTTACACCTTGGAAATGTGTAATTTTTCAATTCAGATTTTACACCTTGGAAATGTGTAATTTTTCAATTCAGATTTTACACCTTGGAAATGTTCAGATTTTACACCTTGGAAATGTGTAATTTTTCAATTCAGATTTTACACCTTGGAAATGTGTAATTTTTCAATTCAGATTTTACACCTTGGAAATGTGTAATTTTTAAATTAAGATTTTACATCTTGGAAATGTGTAAGTTTAAATTTAGATTTTACACCTTGTAAATGTGTAAGTTGTGAAATCAGATGGAAATGTGTAATTTTAATACACTTTTCATTCTTGTTTAATATTTGTGTTTTCTGTGCCAGTTTGTGTAAATTTAAAAGACACTCTTTTTTGTGTCTTAAACTTTTGTGATTCTTTACATGAAGCAATTTTCTAGTAGCTGATCAGGAGTGGCCCCACGAAGATAATCCCAGTTTGAGTGTGTAATCAGTAATTTAAGACATCACTCTTTAACATAATTTCTAAAATTCCTAGCCTACTGGTGCGGAGTTGTACTAAGCACTGAATCAAATTAAAACACACATACAGGGATGCAACAAACATTTGGTACCCACAGCGAGAGTACAATCACTGCCAGGATTTGGTTCAACATTCTGCTACAAAATCATGCTGTCCCATTTTATATAGTTCACATTGTAGGTACTAAATTCTGATAAACTCTTATAGTGCTATGTAAGATGTGGGAACCGTAGATTCTAGGCCCGATTCATTTCATTTTTTTCATATTTTTTTTCTTATTTTTTTTTAAACATGATCGGGCCTAGAAGTTATGGTTCCTACAGCTAGTGCTTTGCTAGATATAAGGTAAACAGCGACGGTAGATATAAGGTTTACAGTGATGGTGGCCCCAAATATTTTTCAAACAGTTTATCATGTTAAGACTGAATGCATTAATGACTTTTTAAGCAAAATGTTAATTTGATGCAATTCTGAAATTAAATAACATCAAAAAGAAATCAAAACTAAGGTTGTTAAAGGCAAATGACTTAAAAAATGTACAAAAATAGTGAATTTTCGCTAAACAATGTTTTTTAATATGACTGGGTCTATATTACAAAGCCTTGTCCTATGTTATATAGACCAGCCCTGTCACTTGTTTTGTGAGAGTAACGTCATCAGTTTTTGAGAAAACAACGTAGTTTTCTCACACAAACCAATGACGTAACAATCAATACCTGCTCCCAAGAGAAGATAACTCTGCAATACGCAAAGACGGAATACCCCACTGATATTTTCAAATCAAATTATATTACTTGGGAGATCTAATTGTCAACACATTTCAACATTTTGCAGATTTAGGTGTGATTACATATCTTTGCCAATGGAAGAAGTTTTCTTATCTTGAGTGATGAAAAATGGAATACTGTTATACATGTCTTCAGCTGTGAAAATCAGTAACTGATTGAGTTGAGAAATCTTGGGGCCCAAACCATAGCTTTATCTACCTTACCTCGGCAACCTTAAAAAGCTTGTGATTTAGGACCTGATATGGCAACGTTGCAAATCCTTTTATCCATTGTTTTTATATCATGTCTCATATGCAAGAAATCCTTTTTATACTCCATCCTTTTATTTGTTTTATTTGATATTTAACTTTTATTTTTTTTATGCCTGTAGTATTTATGTCCAGTGATTATATTGAACATTTTACATCTGTGACTCTAAACGTGTTGTTTACTTTCTTACGTGTAATTTATTTTGACATAGATCTTGTACCAGCCTAGTAGCTAAAATAAATAATTTCAGTTGTGTGTTATTTTGCTGACTAGGTTTTTTTCACGAGTACTTGAATTCATGACCGAGAGTACACTATTTCAATATAATTGATAATAATAATTATTTATGAAAATCAAGAAAAACTATAAAGATTTTTTTCCCGAAAAGTTTTGATTTGTGAATGTGTCTCCTGCAAAATGAACACATAAATTAATCTCTCGCGAATAACGGTGATTTACAGAAATAACTCAACTTTTGGAATTTTTTATTAATTAAAAAGGAATTGAGAAATGTCTTGATATACTTTGGAATTAAACAAGCTTGGTAAATAAATCGGCTCCATAGATCAGGATTTAGTCAAGACAGGATCAAAAAAGATGAAAGAACTACCTTGAAATTTATATAAAAATGACACAGGATTTCAACACTTATATCCAGTTTCGTGAACCAAGTTTCCTGCTGCCGCGCGCCACCAAACAATGTAATTAGTTGTGATACCAGTATTAGTTTATCCGTCGGTCTGTGTGATACCAGACAGTCTGTGTCAGTTTTGTTGTGAAGTTTCCTGTACTGTACAAAGGGAACTGCATTTTACCTATGAAGTATAGATTTTTATTGTTGTCAGTTCAAACTAAGGTAACTCTGTTAACCCTTTCACCACTGTAGACCGAAATGGACTCATCCAGACCAATGCATGGTAGAGTCTACTAAAGTTACATAGGGGTGAAAGGGTTAACTGCAGTAACTGATCTAGGAAGTACTCCATCAGAACTAACCAAGTGCAACCTTTACTTTGCCCGACGATAGTGTCTATATAGTGTCATCTATTCAAATCCTGTTGTGACATCACGATCTCTTTGACATCATTTGATTTTGTGACATCACGATCTCTTAGACATCATTTGATTTTGTGACATCACAATCTCTTTGACATCATTTGATTTTGTGACATCATTTTGTCCTGGAGACACAAGAAAAATAAACACTTGTCAATCACTGCTGATTTATGTCAATCTTTGGGTGAACATAGTTGGAATTCTACAACGTGTCCTCCCACTTTGCTTCAGATGAAGGTTTAGAGATAATAAACCTGTAATATATATCACGTTATAGGCTGGACCAATCATCTTGTACATTGTGTGTGTGTTTATGATGAGAGTTTCTGTTTAGTTATTTACCTATTTTGTGCCAAATATGTTTTTTGCATTTTTTTTGTAGGTCTAGAAGAATGAACATACATGTGAAATATTTGTATAGGTGTGTACTGTGTGTTTACACCGTTCATGTGTAGTGTATACACATTTACAATCATGACAATTTATTTTGCTTAAAATAAAATTCCAGATTTTTGTCCCTTGCATTACAATGGAAATGCCCTCATCAGCAAAAAAGATATTTTATAAAATATTTTCGTTCTGTGGTAATTATATTTTTGTTAAGGGTGTATGCTGCCGTACTTATGTGAAATACTTCTTCTTTCAAAAGAGCTCCATAAAAAGAGATGTGTTGCACATGTATAATGATGTAAATTTTATCTGTAACCTAATTCACATCTTCAAAATACAAGGGTTCTTGGTACTCGTACCATCTCTCCACCATTTTCTCATGAAATTGAAGTACCTTAAGTGCCACCTTGCAGATGATACTAGTAGACTAGTGTGATCATGTGATGTACATCAAAATAATCGCCTGGCAACATAACAGTAAAATTGGCCAGCTTGAAAGTTCGGAGTCACTCTTTTGTAATCTCCAAAGGACAGGTATCAGCCTAGCGATTGGTCAGGTTTTTATACCAGAAACTTATCAAATAGCTAATCGTGTGCCTTAATTTTTTCGAAGGCTGTAGATACACGGTATATTATAGAAAGCAGAGTCTTGTATTTCAAAGATGTCGCATTTAGGTCTCATTTTATCATAAAATGGACTACAGAATACAGGGTACGTGCTGTAAGGCACTTTGCAAGCAGAAAATTATCATGTAAAATGCATTAAGGCAGTAACTGTGCTAACACTTTAGATGGTGTACATATACCAATACAAGGAACATTTAATGGCGTAGAACAAGACTGTCATCGATGTTATAATTTGACTGATAGATATACGTGTGTTCCTGCACCAATTGAGATATTCCAGGATCCTGAGACATTGTCCTAAGAGAATTAGTAAGTCTGATATTACCATTCTACAGCCTTCTACTACCCTGGTTACTCCAATGTTATAACACAGGAAATATCACTTTTTTAGGTCACCTGAGACAAAGTCTCAAGTGACCTATTGCGATCGCCTTTTGTCCGTCGTCGTCCGTCGTCCGTCGTGCGTCCGTAAACAATTTACATTTTCGACTTCTTCTCCGAAACCCCTGAACCAATTTCAATGAAATTTTGCAGGGACCTTCCATGGACAAAGGTCAACAAAA